AAAGTAAACTCGTTTTGATAAATTGGTTAAGGCTTTCGCGGCCCGTTGATAAGCTATTATCTTGATTCGGGTTTAAAGGCCGTCGTCGGTTGGAATTAGTTCCTAACGTTTCGCTAGCACGAGTGGCGAGCTTCATAGACAGTCTACGTCCAACATCTGAGATGGAAGGACCTCTGAAGAAGCTCGCCACTCGTGCTAGCGAAACGTTAGAAAGTAATTACAACCGACGACGGCCTTTAAACCCGAATCAAGATAATAGCTTCCTAAACTGGTTTTATTAATTCCCCAACCCTAAAGATCCCAAAATTTTCCAATGTTTCTATTTTGATTGGTGTGGATAGTTGTTTACAAATATTTATAGAAAAATGAGTAATACGATGTAAATAATAGTAGTTTTTTTTTTTTAATTTGAATGTATATGTTCACTTTTTTTCTAAATATCACAAAAGAAAATCACTAAAGTAAAACTGCTTCTGTGACGCATTTAGCCAGAAATATACAGGAACAATCTAACCTAACAAAGTATTGTTAACTTCCATATTTTTGGATTTATATCAAAATTATTGGTATTAAAATTATTATCAATGCTTTTTATAAAACTTCTGGATTTCTCCTGGGTCGGTTTTTGTTTTGCCAATCATCCTGTTGGCTTCTTCAGGGCTTGACTGGCTCGCATTTTACTCTGTACCTGCTTTCATATTGTTTGAGGGGGGTGGAGCTACACCGTCTCGTATTACAATACAATCTCTATTTTTTTTCATTATACCTTCATTGATTTTAGACTGCGTATGTCCCTGCTTTTCAAAATCCTATTACGTGACATAATTCCTATTCTTTACTGACATTTTATGCAGTGCATTCTCTTATCGTAAATCAAAAGATTATATATTTTCCGATTGTTAAAAAAAAATTAACCCCGTTTCGCTAAACGTTTTAGATTTTCATAAAATTTATTGAAAACCGCTAATTAAAACGGGTACAAACGAACGACCTTTTCCTCGAAGTCTCTAAGTGAATATTTATCGAATGTTTCGGTCGCATTCAATCGCAATGCTTATAAAACCTGTTGGCCACTTTTCCATTACAGGTAGTCAGATTCATTTTTACGTAAAAGTAGTAAAACAACTGGAATGCGTTAGAGAAATGGAGTGATATGACATTGGTGCACAAACACCAAAACATTTTCATATGGCTATTATTCGTTATGTCTTTTCTTAGACAATAATTACTATTTTTCCACAAGCAAGTCTTTCCTTCACTGCACTATATATGGACAGGAAATACTGCAATTGCATTTATTCCTTATTCTTTCCCCGTTCTCGTAGTCCTTACTCTTTATCATACTTTCTTGGTATTTTCGTTATCCTTCATAATTCCTGATCATCAAGTGTAACAATTAGCAACTTGTATAAGGTTTTTCTTGAGACACTACATAAGCTAATTGGGGTGTTACAAACCTTAAATTTATTTTAATTTTGTATATACAGGGTATTTTATTTTTCGTGGACGAGTCTCAACTTTTTTATTTCAAATGCAACACCTGGTATGCTACTTACATATTTTGTATATACCCTATATCTAAGTCTAACCGTTTTTGACATTCTTATTTTTTTATGCAAAAAATGACGTTTGCAAGACTTAAAAAATGTCTGCCATTTTTTTTCATTCGGAAGCATTTTTTGTTTCACCTGAGTAAGTTTTGTTGTAGACAAGGGACTCGAATAACGGATTTGATAAGAAATTTCGATACATAAGGGTACGCGAAAAATAAGATTAAAAAAAGTTAAAAAAATCGCCATAAAACTTTTTTTTTAATGGAAACTACCTATTTTTATATTCTTGTCATTTTATATAAAGTACATGCCTAATATTTTTATTTTTTGAAATATTCCCTTTTCAACAGTTGTCACAAATAATATGCTGTTGCTATATAAGTTCAGTTGGTGTAAGGTGGCTATGGCGGCGTTTAAACAAAACAAGTGCTAGAATAATGCTGCTTGCTTATTATGTTTACCACAAAGGAGAAGAAGATTGATATGTTAGAAAGTTACATATCGTACAATAAAAACCGGAGTTTGTCTCTTAGAAATTATATTAGAAAATTTCCATTAACGAGGCGCCCAGAAAAAACGATCTTCGACAGGCTTTACCAACACTTTACAACTGGATCCTAAATATAACCAGATTATAAAAATGGGTAGTTTCCATTAAAAAAAAAGTTTTTTGGCAGTTTTTTTAATTTCATTTTTAATTATTAATTTTCGCGTACCCTGTATTAATATGTCTCGAAATTTCGTATGAAATCCGTTATTCGAGTCCTTTGTCTACAACAAAACTTACTCAGGTTAAACAATAAATGTGTTGCAAACGTCGTTTTTTGTATAAAAAATTAAAAATGTCAAAAACGGTTAGATTGAGGTATAGGACTTACACAAGATATGTAAGTATGAAATAAGAAAGTTGAGACTCGCACACGAAAAATTAAACACACTGTATATACAAAATTAAACTAAATTTAAGGTTTGTGACACCCCAATTAGCTTATGTAGTGTCCCAAGAAAAACTTTATATAGTTGCTAGTTGTTACACTTGATGATCGGGAATAATGAAGGATAACGAAAATACCATGAAAGTATGATAAAGAGTAAGGACTACGAGAACGGGGAAAGAATAATGAATAAATGCAATTGCAGTATTTCCTGTCCATATCTGAATACTTAAACGGTTTATTTTTTTATCTCATGCAGTAAACCTTTTTGTTTATTCAACAATTACGTAACCACTTTCAAATTTTCAAAAACCCAAAGGTTTCGTTATTTACACGGGCCATGATTAATTGTTTTTACTTGTTAATTCAAGATAAGCCGGCTTATAACTGCTCGACTATTGCAGAAATTTGATACCGCCGACGGATACCGGTCTTGGCTGAGAGCGAAATATCTGGTTTACTCGCTTGGCACGTAAATATAGGCATTTCGAAATGGAATATCTGGTTTCTGCGCAAAGTCGTTCGAGCAAAAACCAAGTGCTGCAAATTCCGCCTCATGTTATGTAATCCATACAGCATTGGACGGTATATACATTGAAATGTTTTTAATATAAATAATTAAATAAATAAAATAAATATACTCCTATTTATTACTTTACAGTAAACAAGTTTAAGGTCCAGAAATAATAATTCAAAAAATTATTGTAAGTAAAGAAAAAATAATACCAGAAGAAGAAGACGTCCTGCTTGTACGCCATTCAAGTCCTCTCTGCTAATATAATCGCCGCTAACTAAGTTTGGTCATATTTTTTTTTAATTAGACGTAGATATTTCATTTTAAAACTTGTTTTTCAAATGTTTTGTTTTAAGCTGTTTAGCAAGGTATTGCAGCAGCAATCAGTATAAAAAATCATTAAAATTCACAAAGTGATATACAGTCGAAACTTTATATAGCGAAATTGAAAGGACTGATTTTTATACATATTTTATATACATATTTTAACACCTAGTTAGCAACATTTTATATAAATATTTAAGAACTACATTTAATGTTTCATATAATCGGTCATCAGATCAACTTCTTCATCTTCAAATTTTGACTTTCTTAGTTTTTTACTGAAGAAGAAGAACTGCCGCCGCTTCTTTGCACTTGCAAATCGTGGATACAGTCGACGGTGTAAGTTCGTATCGATGTCCCACGTCACTTTTCTTTTCTCCCCGTTCTATTTCCCTAATTGAAAGAACTTTCGGCCTACATTCCTTATTTTGTTACCTGATGTGCCCTTTTTTCTTTCGATATAGAGAGTGAGAAATTCATTATACAGAGTAGATTAATACATAGCTTTGTATGGAGACCTAATAGTACAACAAATTTTGTTCGTAATACAGAGTCTCGCTATAGGGAGTTTTCACTGTAGTTAATTTTAAAAAGAAATGCAAAATAGATGCAGAAGATCGCCGATTTCAAGAAAGAAGGACTGAACAATTATTTTTATCTTGCACAATTTGTTTGCTGTGTAATGAATTATAAATGACCAATAAATTTTTTATCTAATTAAATCTGTTTGTTTTTAATAGAAAACTTTGTATTTACCACCTTTATTGGGCTTGGGATTCTGTATCATTTCGTATATAAAACTTTTATTACAAAAATTATGAGATTTGAAGTTATTCTCAATCGTATATCTTATTCTAAATCTAAGTATACCTTTTTTTACACAAGTATTGAAACTGAATAGAACTTATTATTTTTTTATTATTACTTATTATTATCATATTATTATTTATTGTTTGCCTGTTAGGTAGAAAATGTTTTCGTAATTAGTAATAGTGAATTTGGGTAACTAATGTTAAAAAAACTAGGTTTAGTTAGATTTAAAATAAAACACACGTTTTTTTCTAAAAATCGGCAGTAGCTTCTAAACTACAAATTTTTGTAATAAAAGCAGAGATTATGCAGAATTAAATTCCGACCCCAATAAAAGTGCTAAATACAGCGTGTTCGGTTTAAAAAAATGAGTTTTTTAAATTAGGAAAAACACTTTTTGATTGTACCTTGTGACCATTCTGTATAATATATTTTTGGCATAAATAGATCAAAGCATTTTCACATTTTCACAAAGTCCGCATGGTAGGGAAATACTGAAAATCAGGCGAATAATTGTAATTTTTTTAAATATGCATAGCATTTCATGAAAAAAAAAACAATAATAATAATAATAATAATAAAACTTCTATACATAAACATACTATACATCAAACATCTACTTAGTAGTACTTATTGAAATAAGGCACTTTAAATAGACCACCCAGTACGCCGCAAAATCGCACACAAGATACAAATATAGATAGCAGTTAGAAGAGGCCCAAGGATCGAACCTTGTGGAATACCACAGATAATTGGAGTAGCAGATGATACAGTCTCTTTCATCTCAACATATTAAAGTCGGTTACTGAGATAATTGGGTAATAGACCAAGGATTTAGAATAATCAAGTCGCCAAAATACTTACACGTATACGTAAGGGCCTAGTTCGTCGACTATGGGTTTGCTTCCGTTGTTCAAAAATTCATCAGCGTTAGTCACGTTGTAAATATACACCCTAATCATCGGTACCACCGGAGGCTTGGCCCACCATTCGGTAGGTTTCGACCCCTCCCTCAGTGTCACCTCCTGCGAAATAAAAGAATATGGAATATCGAACTGAGGTGGCTTTTACTTGATGAAAATCTATTTAACAAAATAAATAAGAACTAAAAGTTCAGATTTTCACGAAATTATATATATTCACATGACAAAGGAAAACAAGATTTTAAGGCATTTCTGAGATATCTATCTAAAAAAATATAATAATAATAATAATAATAATAATAAGATATTATAACAAAAAAACAATATACAATATTAATATTTTTCAACGAAATGTAAACAGATAGCTCGAAAGCGCCGCAGTCTACCTTTGCGTTTATTGAAATATAAAATGGATGAACAACAAATAAAATATAAAAAATACCTGCAAAATCGGAAGAACAACATAACTCTACTACAAACTACAGAAAATGCAATTGAAGATAAATAATTTGATAACTCATTATAATCCCTTGCTAATAACATAATTAGCAACACATTATTAGAAAAACTATATTTGTAACAAATTATCTTTGTACCTCTTTTTGAATGAATATAAATTTAAGTTACAGAATTCCTGTGACAATGAATTATAAACACGAATTGCGTTGAATGTGAAAGTTCTACGAAACAAGGCACTCTGATGATGTGGCATCGTGTATGTACCTGTATCTTACATTCACAGAATGGCTACTACTCCTAGGAGTAAGCCGCTCTCTTAGCAAAGTGGAGGTTATGGATAACTTTCATAACGAATATGTTGAAATGAAGAGCTCTTTGTTCCATATAAGCCAATTAAGTTGACGATATGCAGCAGATACACGGTCACACAATACGGGACTTACACTCGATATAAATAAAAAAAAAACATACACTTCATCACAGTAGTTAAAATATGAGAGAACAAGTGACTCACATAATTGTTTCCTTAGTATAAAATTTAAAATATGCCTGTTACTATATAAGATTGTCAGTGAGAAATATGCCTTTTGAAAGATATTTTTTAAATATTCATGAAATCTTAGTTCGCAATCTATGATCACCCCCAAATTTTTTGCTGAATCGACAACGGAAAGTTTAATATTATCTAACATTATATTAATATTTTGTTCAAGTAGCTTAACTTTATTTTTATTTCCAAATATCATTAAATGCGATTTTGATGGGTTTTGCTTTAAATTATGGGCACGAGAAAGTTCCCTAATCCTGTAAAGATCTTGATTTATAAATACCTCTGCATCCATGCTACTATTAAAATCAAAACAGCAATACAATTGAGTATCGTCGGCATATGCCCGAACTTTGCAAAAATTTAAAGATTTTGAAATGTCAGAAATGTAAATCAAAAAAAATAGCGGCTCCAAAATGGAACCTTGAGAGAAAATTTCAATTTCTTTTGAATATCTGCTATCACAGTATATTTTCTGATATCGATTTGAAAAATAAGATTTAATCAGCTCGTCTCAAAAAACCATAGAAATTCAGCTTGCAAATCAATACCATCAATATAAAAGCATTCGCAGTACTTGACTTTCGTTTAAAACCGCACTGACTTTCTGGTACTATTTTATTGTACATTATATAGGTATACATTTGATTATAAAGAACTTTTTCGTATATTTTTGATAGTGCCGGTAATATACTTATTATTCTTACGTCATTGAAACTTCTCGGGGCATTATTTTTAACTAATGTTTTTCCAGGTGACATTTTCGAGCTTTTTGGAAAATAGTTTACATCTATGTTATCAATGTGAGGACTGCAGTATTTAAGCATAAATGGAGAGATTTCGTCAACCCCAGTGGCATCTGTTTTAATTTCATGAATATATTTATGAATATCAACAAGATTTGTTAATTCAAAAGAGCATTATTGAAACAATTGTCCTGGTAATATTATATTTTATCATTAGAGTTTAATTTGTTTTGAAGTAACTGCGAATTAATATTAAAATTTTTATGAGCCTCCCAAGTTTGGAGTTATTAAAATTGAACCACGTATAAAATTCTTAAGTGGAACACACTGTATAGATGTATATATAGCGGCTAATAACAAGTAAACACATGTTCTATCCTGATTTGTTTTCGAGATACAGAGTGTCAACGTTTGTATAAAAAATCGTTTTTTTTTTATTGATAATTGAAAAACCTTTTTTTCTGAATTTGATTAAACTTGACATGCTAATTCGCGGTAATAAAGGAAATTAGAGTAAATGTGTTAATCTAGTTTGATATTTCGGGTTGGTTACATTATATAAACGCAATCTGGAAAAACATAATATTCAAAAGAAAAAAAATCTTAAAAGTCATTTTTTCAAATTGAACTATCCCAATTTTATTTTTCTTTTAATTTTGCAACATTAAAATTGGGCAGATATAAATGTACTAGCAATAAAATAAAATGGAAAATAAAATGGTAGAAATATGCTGCTTAATAAATAATATTCTACAATATCAACAATTAATAGTGTAAATGCTGAACAGGACGTTTAAAAATTTGCTGTAGATAGGATTTGAAAAAAAAAATGACAAACCTGATAATGTGGGAAGTATGGAGGTAAGGAATTTTTGAAAAATCAATAAACGACAAGAGTCGACAAGATTAAAAAACCTTAAATAAATCAATCTAAATATCGAATCGATAACGAAAATGATTTTCGAATTTAACTAACGAAGTTCAATTGGTACACAATCGAAAGAACCGTGTTACTTTTGCTACCTGTAACGTCAAAATTCTAGATTTTCGATTGCCCATTTCGTTTGGTTAACAAAACGATATAAACAAATGGTCGACCGATCAGTCAGAGTAGGCGCTTTCTATTTCATTTCATTGTAGAAAGTTTCCGTCGTCGATAATGCGCTTATAATTGTGCCTGTATAAATTATACACAATGTACTTGTAATAAAATACTATAAGCTATCAACATGACTCTATTGTTTCTCGAAATATTGTTGTTGTTGTTGAGTTAGTCCACGTCTAAAGTTGTAAAAAATTGTTGAACGAAAATGCTCCCGATTAAGTTCCATTTTTAACGGTCACAATTTTTTTAATTAATCACAAAAACCACAAACAACACTCTTTCGCTAAAACCTGAGTAAACCTAACCTAAAAATGTCACACTTCCCCGTAAAAACAGTAATTTTAACAGAGGCAAAGTAAAGCTTTGTGTTTTGGTTAGCCTGTCAACCGACATTTAAATGTAATTTTTAATAACAGTTTGTTATATTTTAACTAAATTAAATAAACCAACTCATTGCGAATACTTTTTACTGCATTGTTGTATATCCCAATCAAGCAAAAAAAACATATGAAAATGAAAAAGCAATCTGTAAAAGGTAAAAAGGTTAGTAGGGTTAGTAGCCAAGTTTTTTCCCAAGTGACGTTTAAAAAACACTACCAATTTTCGGACATGTAAGGCTATATCATATCATAAATATGTGTTTAATACAATATCTTATTCCGATTAAATGATGTTACACACTTTATAGTTTAGTACACTCGTTTTTATTGTTAAACTATTTTTTTCAAGTATACTTTCTTTTCAAGCTACTTTAAAACAGATATTTCCAAGGCTGGTAAAGAAATTTGCAGAAAATGGTAAATGTTAAAAAGCCAGCATGCCGGAATCATAATGTTTTAAATGAAGAAAATAAGGCAAACATATTAGGACTCTATGAGGCACATCCAGTTTCCTCTATTACGAGAGTATTTGAAGAGACAGGTATTTCACAATCCACTCACTTTTGAAAGAATATAAATATAATGCATTTAAATTTCGTAAAACTCAAAAATTAAGTGCAGAACAACGTCAAAGGAGGATGCAGTTTTGTTTGGATTTTTTAAATGGACATAATGAGAATAGTAATTTTTTTGAAAGACGTTTGGAAGTTCGTTCACTACAAGAAAGGGTTGTAATAGACAAAATAAGCGATATTGATCTTTAAATAATCCTATAAACCTAATAAAAACCCAGGGGTACAAATCAATTAATGTATGGTATGGTGTCATAGATGGGCATATTTTGAGTCCGATATTTATAGGTCAAAAATTAGCTGGAGATCATTATTAGAGCACCAAATAGAACAATATATAGAAGACTTACCGCTAAATATATCAGCGCTGATTATATGGCAGCAAGACCGTGCCCCTCCTCACAATGTTGTGCGAGTTAAAAATTTTTATAACATGTAATATCCAAGTGATTGGATAGACTTAACTTTAATGGATTTTATGTTTCGGAGATACATAAAAAATGCACGAAACTTCTTATAATAAGATCGTGGAACTTCGGCAAATGATTTCAGAGGCAATCAATCAGTTAAGAAACAATTTGAAAACTTTACTAAATGCAAGACATCAACAATAAGAATGTGAGAAATGTGTTCACGAAAATGGTGGTAACATTCAGCAGTATTTAGAAGAGTTAAAGATGTTTTTACTTTAGTGTGTCTTGTCATTTTTAGTATTTTTGTTCTAATTTTGATTTCTAAATAATTATTATTGTTGGAATCAGTCTCTCTTTGAAATTATATAAAAATTTCCTCTTTTTGCATATTTGTCCAAACCGAGTGGATTAAAATATGTGTTACATTATTGTAATCGGAATAAGATATTCTGTTAAGGGTTCCAATAGGGTCGAACGGTTCACGGTTGGCTTAACCCTTTTGGGATGCGAAATGGTGAAAAAAGCGAACACGATAGGTAACGACCCACTGTGAAGACTTACCGCAGGCTATCGTGTCGTCGGTTCCGGACGGGGCCCCGTTTATTGCACTCGCGCTTGAAACTCGCGGACTTGCGGAATCGGCTCTGTTTCTGGCGCCGGACCACGCGGAAGTGTCTTTTCGAATCTCAAATATCAAAAAAGTTCCTCCTTTTCCTGTGCGGTTGCGCACAAGCCGTCACATGGGTTACGCGGGTTTGAGAAACTGGGCGAACGCGCAAATTTAAATTAGCGATCCCAAAAGGTCTCTAACCCGACTTTTGAAAATAGAAACAATGGATTCTGAACATATTCTATTAAACATAAAACAGAAAATCTAGTAGGCTTATATGTCAGAAACTTGATAGTGTTTCGTTTTATACGTCACGGAATTCACTTAAATGTTTAAAATGGGTATATGGGTATATGAAAAGTATATGAAACTCGACGGTTATTTTAAATAATAAGACAAATTTTTAATAAAGGATAAATTAGGATAAAAAGAAATACACATTTTTAATCGTTAAAAAGATATATATTAAATTGGTGGCTTATGGATCCGGACCAAATTCAAAATAAATAAGAACTAGAAGTTCACATTTTCACGAAATTATATATTTTTACATGACAATTGTTTCGACAACATCGTGTGTTTATCAACCAAACCACCAAATTGTTCTGCATTACGTCTTAAACATGTTTCACACATAAACTTTGGACTTTATATGGTTTCAATTTATATTTCTTTTTTAAGATCGTTCGATTGACAAATTTTGTAAACATTTATTAAAATAAAGGTATAAGCCAATAATCTAATATTTAAAAGTACGGCAACGTTTTAATTAATTAATTGATCATTTTCGGTAGCCCTCGAGCAGACAAAACTAATTCTTTGCAATATTATAGCGCGTATTATTATACACGCTCAACTGATTTGACTAAACAAAAATTACAATTAAACCTCCGTGTAAAAGTCACACGCGGCCTTACGTAAATGTCATACGTAAGAGCCGTATAATAACAACTGCAAAGTTTTCGCATTCCACAAAATTGGTGATCGACCATATCGAACTCACTCGCCTACTACATATTTATGCGATAAGTTCAACGTGACGTCATTATCGGAAGTTGAGGACTTATGGCAAGCAGATTTCAAATGTATACGTTGAAAGAAAGAAGGGGAAATTCACAGGCGCTGCGTTCTATAAAAGCAAAGCACCGCTCCCTGGTCGGTCAGTCGAAAAGATGAACCGCGCCGCTAGGAAATATGAATAAGCAATGGATATAAATATAAAGTTCTCTATAATCAAATCTATAATTATACCGGGTGAACTTTTTTCAGCCGTTTAAAAGTTACAGAGTGTTCAAACTTTCTTGTGTCGCCCGGTATAGTTCTTAATAGAATAGCACTAGAAAGTCGACTTAAAAACCTAGCAATTATTAATTTGTTAACATCGAAATGTTTATGTAAAGATACAAAGTGTCAATTAAGTATGTATAATGATTTGTTGAATAATTGTAAGACAAATAGTTGATATAAATATGAGTCCGTATGACCATTGTTCGGGAGTAACAAAGCCGATCAAAAAAAGTAGGATGCATTGTAAATTATTGTAAACGCTTCAGCAAATTCTGTATTACCTCTTAAATGGAAAATTTTATTCGTAGTAGAATATAATAATAATCTTTTGTTTGACTAACCTTTATAGTAGATGTCAATAAAAAGCAAATTAAAAGAAAACAATTAAATAAGTTTCCCTTAAATTTAAGAAATGATTTTTCTAATTCATTTTAAGACAAATAGTTCATATCAATGTGGGTTCGCAAGAACATCGATTTTGACACGTTAGGTTGTATTGTTGTTTTTATACAAATAATTGAGAGAAGACTGCTCAAAACGAATTGTGCAAAGCATATCTTTTTTATAAAACGATAAGACAGAAATATATTTTTTGAAACAAATTATGAAGTTCCAAAAGAGTAGATGACACCCTGAGAGAGCCGTTAATATTTCCGAATATTAATTCGCAAACTTTCACTACTGCTCAGCTCTATATTTTTCAATAAAAATTGCTTCCTTATCCTTTCAAATTTGATGTAGGGTAAAGACTGGATATTTTTTGGTTACTTAGATAAGTTTCCGCAAATTTCATATTGGCCTGATTCATAGGGTCAATTGTTGATTTTTTTTTAATTATTTAAATCTCTGTAATTGACTCGTCGCCACTTCAGGTTTATTATATATAAATGACGAACGACGGAAGTCCGAGAGCCAAGTTATCAGTCACAACATAGAATATTGTCTTAAACTCATCAGCTGCAGTGAAGTGATGAGGAAGCAATATAATGCGGAGGAAATTTAAAATATTTGTTGGTAATAATAGCTGATGACGTCAGTCTAAATTTATCGTAAAAATACTATATAAATACTTATGACCGCACATTATGGAGTATTCCTTCTAACGAAACGCGAGAATCCCAGAAGCATATAATTACTTACGTGATTGATAACCAGGTTGACCCAGCTCATGAAAAATATGACCACTATGACCCCGAAGAAGATTATCCCAACGGATACTGCCACCACGAACCCTGAAACAAATCACAAACATTAAAAGCCATAACGCTTTACAATTTGTTCGCATTTCAAACCACGTTTTACAGAGGCCATGAATATTATTTTTGACGTATATACGCAAAGTTGACAATTGGGCAGCGTTTCTCAAGCATCAGGCCGAAAATGTGCGTTTGACGTTTAAATTTACGATAAAAATGGTTTTAAATAAACCATGATACTAGAGTAAAGCTCATTGTCTCATTGGTTTAGAATGTTATGAGACAATGGTAAACACAAAAGTGAGAAAGATTGTTAGGATACCCAATTTAAAACCATTATATACGGGGCGGCTTATTTTTAAAGTTTGATCTCAATTCTCTTTAAAATCCTTTTTTTATCATATACATACCTAAACCCAATAGTTTTTTCAATATTCTAATTTTTGCAAAAAAAATATTAGCGCTATGCAAAGGAATTTGAATTAGATGTTATAGGATGTTCAAAATAAAACGAATATATTTGGATCATTTAAAATGGAAAATTCCCGAATTCCTTAAATGGCATACCATATGTACCCGTGTTGTAGAGAACTGAAGAAACTAGTTTTTGATTAAAACATGCATATCACTGATTTTAAGCATAGTGCACACACAGGAAGTGGAAAAAACGTTTATATTTGACACTTAAGTGTTTTATTTTATCTTTCAACGGCTGACGTATTAATAATAAAGTTTTTAACTATATTACTATTTTATAATAAAAACATACATGTAAAGACTGTTTTGTTTTCTGATTTTAAGCATAGTGCATACAAATAGGTTTTGCTAGTCTTCGCTCCTTTTTATTGCAGTCTAAACCACCTATCTGTGAAAGCACTATACCTTAAAGAAGGAGCGCTCTTTGTTGATGACCAGTGATAGGATAATAGTAAAGAAAACGTTTTTATTTGACATTTAATTGTTTTATTTTGTCTTAACGGTTGATATTATAATTTCTGTATTAATAAAACCTTTTTACCTAGTTATGTAGAGACAAATTTATTAACTATATAGCTAATTTATAATACACACGTATACATGTAAACACTGTTTTTTTTCTTCACTTTAAGCATAGTGCACGCAGATATGTTTTGCTAGTTTTCGCTTCTTTTTATTGCAGTCTAAGCCACTTATCTGTGAAGACACTATACCTGAAAGAAGTCGCGCTTTTTGAAGACCAATGTGACATTGTTTTAACTGTTGATGTCATAATTTGTATATCATTAAAATCTTTTTAACTAGTTTTGTGGCGAAAAATTTTGAACTATATAACTAGTTCATAATAAAAATTTACATATAACGACTCTTTTTCTTCTGATTTAAAGCATAATGCACACAAATATGCTTTGATAGTTTTCTGCCATTTCCATTGCAGTGTTTGAACCATTTATCTATGAAAGCACTATACCTTAAAGGAGTAGCGCTTTCTGAAACTCAGTGATAGGAAGGTAGTGCAGAAAACGTTTTTATTTGACATTTAATTGGCTTATTTTATTATATCCATTATATATTAAATTTAAAAATTAAAAAAATTAAAATCTATTTAACTAACTAGAGAAAAAAATGTGTTTTCTTTTTTCAAGATATAAAGCATAATGCACAAAAATTGATTATGCCAGTTTTGAACCCCTTTCTGCAGTTTAGACTAGTGATGGGAAGGGCGTTTTCCTTTTTAGTCACCAACCTGAAGGAAAAAAAATAGAAGACTATGTTTACTATTACAGAACAAGATCAATAATAAACGATCCTTATTTAAAAAAAAAACACACTACCTACTATTAATAATTTTTAACAAAATTCCCTATTAATAAGTTAATAACAATCTTTAAAAAAAAGTAAAACAAAGAAACTAAATAAGTAATTGAAAGACTTTTAATTATTAACATATAATTAGAAAACATCACGTATAAGTAGTTTATAATAGTGGGGTAGCAAAGTAAACGTTTTTATTCATTTGCTATTCTCTTTCCTAAAGGATTGAAGGATTATTAAGTAATTTATTCGCCCATTCGTATATCAGCCACGATATGATTCACAAGGAAAGTATTTAATATAACATCCGGCACACCGCAGCGATCGTAATGCATTTTGCTCGGAGGCGTGGCTGGCTATTTTTTACGCAACTTGAGAATTAATTCACGAACCTGTCGTCGCGATCGAACGAGGAGGTTCTCAAGGATTTTTCGAAAAGTCTTAGCGGATCAGACCAGTCATAGTATATGAAATATCACGTGAGTTTCTGCAAATAGAAACGACTGCTCAAAGCCACTTTAAGCTTTATCTACAACAAACACTGAGATTTCTGTACTTTGAATCTTTATCTTGGACACGTCTTTTTATATACATTTCTATGGTTTTTGTTTTACCTGTATTTTCTATCCGTTTCAATATTTATTATTTCTTTGACTTCCCTTTAATTTTTAAAATACTGAAATCTTAATCAAGCACTTTATAACATTTTTTAGGTTGGTCAGCAAAATATACCGGATGATACAAGAAAGTGGGAACACTCTATAACTTTTAATCATCATCATGGGAAACATTGTAAATTAAACTTTTCTTTACTTGTCAAATGACAAAAAGCATTTAATGTATTGAACTATTATTTTTTTGGCCTAGTTTTTTCAGCACCCTAGTGGGAACAAATTGTTTAAAATCACCATAAAATCACCATAAAAACAAAATATTACTTAGGTGGCTTTGCTTCTATTCATCATCAAGTCGGCATGATTGAAAATTCTGACAGTTTGTACATCTTAATGTGATTATTATATTATGATTTGGGTTATCATGGAAAACAATAATCAATTTACAAATAGAGAAAAAGTTGATATTTTTCTGATGTAATGTAATGTAAAACTTGTCTTACAGTAACACACGTTGATATACCACTTTCAATTCTGCCGACATTGTTAAGGTTTTCTTTTCTAACAGATTTTCAAAATTTTGAGTTGAATTATCCCAAAAAGTGACAGATTTGAAAAGAAAAAAAATATATTTCTATTCTCTTGTTCTTCTGAAATTCCAAAAGCATATCAAAATTTTACCATAATAAAACACTTATAACTAAAAATTCTAATCCATTTAACAAAATAAATAGCAAGAGAGACGGACTTCTTAATACGCCACTCTCAACAGAAAATTACAACAAAGAACTTAATAGCATTAAACAAATTGCACTGAACAACGGCTACAATCCGTCCATTATCGATAAAATTGTAAATAAAAAACAAATCCAGGCAATAGTAAACTCTATTTAGCCGACACCTAATACAGAACACGAATAATTTAAAACAATTACATACATAGGAGAAAGCAGTGAAAAAGTTTCAAAACATTTGTCAAAATGTGGTTTAAAAATAACCTTAAGAACTAACAACACAATGGGAAAATTTTTAAAAAACAGTGAAACGAAGTGTCCAAAATCTCAAAAACCAAGTGCTTACAGTTTGAAATGCGGATCTTGTCCTAAAATTTATATTGGACAAACAGGTAGATCCTTCAAGAAACGCATTAACGAACATAAAAGAGCGTTTAAAAACAATAATCTAGATTCTGATTATGCTACACAATAAAACACAGAGAAACACATGTTTGACGACAATTTTGATATTTTACATACAGAAACAAAAAGTAGAAAATGAAATGTATTGGAATCCATGGAGATTAACAAAATGAGACATTCAAATGTATTGCTTAACGATCAATTAGATTCAAATCCCTCTCCATTATGAAACTAAAATTCTCACAATAACATTAAGGTTTTATTGTCATTTTTCGGTATATAGAGTAACAGGTAGTTTGTAAATATTACATTTAATAAATACACGGTGTTTTCGAAACAACTGTCATGTAATAATATAAAATTTCGTGAAAATCTGAACTTTTATTTCTTATTTGTTTTGTTACATGAAATAGCTTTAAGACTACGACAAACTGATCCGCAAAAAGTTCTTGCATGTAATCAATTCTTCTACCAACAAAAAAGTCGAGAATTTATGGTAATCTATAAGTGGGTGTAAGGGTGTAAGGGGTGAAGGTCTAATAATGACAGCCCAAATGTCAACCTCACCTGCACGAGTGATAACCAAGGTTATCCGGTACACCCTGCAAGATATCTGACGAGGCTCTGACGACCGAACGATCGCCGGAATAAGCGATCCACCTCCAACTTGTCAACGGCTTCGGGCGGAGGAACAACTGGAGGAAGGGGCACCCATTTGTCCCGATGCTGAGAAATCGGTACCAAAGGCGGAGGAACTGCTAACGCAATCAACGGCATAAGGATGTGTAAAGCCACGGGATGACTAACACATTAAAGATCCACAAGGATATCCCTAGAATAACAATCATGGCAAGTCCAAAAACAATGGCCCCCAGTCCGCGGCAGGCCTTAAATGGCCAGCGGGTGCAAAGAATCCCCGCGATCAATGCTAGGACCCACCCGAAAGTGGAACTAAACAAAACAGACAAATCTTCGGCCATAAGAATTGGCACCTGGAATGTGAAAAGTCTATACAGAGCAGGAAAGTTGAATAACATCATCAAAGAGATGAAACGAATCAAAATAGACGTTCTCGGAGTTAGTGAAGTGAGGTGGCCAAAAAGTGGACAAATCAAATCCGATGAGTCAGTGATGTATTACTCTGGAAATGAACTTCCAGCCCACCCGAATGGAGTCGGTATCATAGTAACCGAAGAGATTGAAAGAGCAGTGGTCAGTTTCATTCCTCACTCAGATCGTTCATTGCTTTTAAAAATACGAGCACATCCTGTAGACATCAACGTGATCCAATGCTATGCACCCACTGCCGACAAATCCGAGGTGGAATTAAGCAACTTTTATAAAGAACTAAAGGACCTTTTATCCTACACTAAAAGAAATGAATTGACCATATTATTGGGAGACTTTAATGCCAAAGTGGGATCGAGAGAAGTAGATCGAATTGTGGGTAGATACGGATTAGGAGAGCGTAATCCTCGAGGCAATACCTTAA